TTTTCTGAAGGAGGGTCTAGGCCCAAAATGTCAGCTTTCCTGCTCCTCTGATGCTGCTTGGCCTGCTGTGTTTATCCAGCTCTACACCTTGTTTTCTCAGATTCTCCAGCATCTGCAGTTCCTGCTTTCTCTGTAAGTATTGATAGTGAGTCTGGACGTGACTGGTACCAGAAAACAGTCATGCCCTGAAGGAAGAATCTCTGGTGGCCCCAGAAGGTGATCTTGCAATGGTATTCCTAACAGACAGAGAAGGGCAGGTAGAGACCAAAGTTTGAATAGGTTAGACAAAAAGTAAAAGCCACAGAATAATTTTGTAAAAGAACGAGAAGCAAAATTCCTTGTGATCATAAAGTTGCGCAGGCTTGTATGTAATAAACTTAAGAACAACTTGATTAAAGAAGCAGAAACAAAAGGCAAGATAAATAATATTGGCAATTTTAAGATTAATTCTGGACCAGTTAAGGACTGATTTCAGCTTTAGCTAAAGCAAGGTGATGAGTAGGAATTTTGAAGAATAATTTGGTGATATAGATATTTGTATGAACTCTTCCACATTTTAACTCTTTCACCTATGTATTTAAGCAAGTCCAGATCAATTGATATAAAAGCCACATGTGTGCAAAAAGAGGTGCTTCTGTGACTGCGTCAAGAGTCAGTACTTGGGATGAAGTATAGAAGTTAAACAAATGCATCTATGATGTGAATGTTATTTTTAGGGTGTGGTGTTTTTCAGTGAGATCAGTTTTAATAAAAGTCGGTATGCTCAGCTAAAAGTAGATCCTTTAAAGTTTATTAGCACCCTAAAGGAAATTTTCAAACACCTTCATGATGCATGTTGATAATTTCTTATGGAATGATATTCTGGAATTTGAAAATATTGATAAAAATTTGAGAAAAGAGTGGCACGGTGGCTCAGTGGTTAGCACTGCTGCCTCACAGCGCCAGGGACCTGGATTCAGTTCCACTCTCAGGCAACTGTCTGTGTGGAGTTTGCACATTCTCCCTGTACCTGTCTGGGTTTCCACCAGCTGCTCCAGTTTCTCCCACAGTCCAAAGATGTGCAAGTTAGGTGGATTGGCCATTCTAAATTGTCTGTAGTGTCCATGGATGTTCAGGCCAGTAGGTTAGCCTTTGGAAATGTGGGGTTACTTTGTGGGGGGTGGGTCTGTGTGGGACGTTGTTTGGAGGGTCTGTGTGGACCTGATGGGCCAATTGGCCTGCTTCCAGGCTGTAGGGTTTCTATGATTCTAAATATACTATTAAGAATTGGGAATCAAATTTGTGAAGTTTTTAAATATTTGATTAACATATCAAACAGTGTCAGTCTGGACACACTTTAAATCAACAAGCTTCTTTAGACACTGTTATTCAGATCTGGTTTATATTTCCTAGGGCATCAGAGAAAGCTGATATTTTATCAGAAGAAGAGCAGAGGACTTGAGAAGCTTAATGGTCAGTTGTACTAGTTGTGCACTCAGAATAGACCACATGCTAGCTTTGGTGTATCAATACTAACTGCAAAAATGAAACACACTGGAGTTGGGAAGACTTTAAAGCCAAATAAAACATCAAGAAATTAAATTGCAATAAATGCATACAGAATTTCCCAAACTTAGGTACTTAACAAACATGAAACTAGTCTTTTTCAGTGATGTTACACAAACTGCTTTTCTAGATGGATATTCTAGTGCATCTGCTTTCTAGTATTTCTGAGAGGTGAGAATGGGACATGGCCTCTGTCTTGGGAAGCTAAGAAAGTACAAGGGGCTGTCAAAGTACTCTAGTAGCCAAAACATTGGCTCTTCTGAAAGCAATAGAGATCAATTTACATTGGTCAAAAAATGTAAGTAGTATTGTGTAGAATGGGCATACTGAAATAGTATATTCATTAAATGTTACATAAAGAATTGGTCTAGTGGTATTACCGCTAGACTGTTAAACCAGAGACCCAGGAATGTTCCAGGGACCTGGGTTCGAATCCACATGGTTGGTTGAATCTAAATTCAATTAGAAAGAAACAAAATCTGGAATTAGGGTCTATTGATGACCGTGAATTCATTGCCGATTGTCAGGAAAACCTCTCTGATTCACTAATGTCCTTTAGGGAAGGAAACTGCCATCCTTACCTGGTCTGGCCTACATGTGACTCCAATCCCACAGCAATATGGTTGACTCTTAACTGCCCTGGGCAGTTAGGGATGGGCAATAAATGTTGGCCTAGACAGCAATGTGAATGAATATAAAAGTGTATTTCATAGATTACTAACCATTCATTAAGACTTGCATACATTTGTATAATTGCTATGTCTGAGGTCCATGCTTTCCACAGATGAAGGCAGCATCAGCAAGAGTTGTGACCTCATGCACCGATTTTTTTTTTCTTTATTCATTTAGGGGATGAAGGCATCGCTGGCTAGGCCAGCATTTATTGTCCATCCCTAATTGCCCAGAGGGAAGTTAAGAGTCAACCACATTGCTGTGGGTCTGGAGTCACATGTAGGCCAGACCAGGTAAGGATGGCAGTTTCCTTCCCGAAAGGACATTAGTGAACCAGATGGGTTTTTCTGACAATCGGCAATGGATTCATGGTCATCATTAGCCTCTTAATTCCAGATATTTATTGAATTCAAATTCCACCACCTGCCGTGGCGGGATTCAAACCCAGATCCCCAGAACATTACCTAGTTCTCTGGATTAATAGTCCAGCGATAATACGACTAGACCATTGCCTCCCCATTGAGTCTCCATTGAGTCTCTCTGTAAATGTTCACTGCAGCAGGAATGCCTGCCAGGATACCAACGTCCTGATCCTCAATGGCCTCCAAGACACAGCATCTGCCTCTGGAATGAGCAGAGTTTGAAGAGACCTGTGACCTCAAATGTGACCTCTCCCTGTCTCCACTGCCTCACTTGTGATATGTGAGTCACCAACTACCCACTTTACTGACATCACCAGATGGTGAGTATCTGAGTTGGTGCCAAATCAATCTGAGTTCGGTGATGGTGCATCCTCAGAGGAGTGACCTCCTCTAAGGCATATTCAGGGACCTGGATTATCTCCAGAGACACATGAAGGTCCTGTGGGAAATAAAAGGCATGAATGAGTTCTGTTAACATAAGAACGGTTTACCTTAACGTTACGCATCCCATCATATTTTGTGTAATCCCTGAATAAAGGCAACACACGCGAGTGTTCTTTTCCATGTGGCTTGCTATTTAATTCAGTCATCGAGAAGCTGACAGGCTGGATCTCAGATAGCAAGGCACACTGGTACCTATCGACTTTCACAGCCTGATCTGCGTTCGTTCACTGTGAGATGATTGGAGGACCACTCCTGGCCTCTCCCTCTTGTTTCGTACAGTGTATTCAGTCTAGGATCTTTTGAAAAAAGACATCTGTGTTGAATGCGAATAGTGACTATTTGTTAAGGATGAGTGTGAGTGTCAGTAGCAATGGGCATGGACAGCAAGTGCTACTGGTAATTGTGTGGTAAGCTGGTATAGTGAATAGGTTTGAGAAAGCACAGTGAACGGTTGATGTGTACATCAGAGCACTGTGGAATGTTCTGTTTCACCTTTCTTATCCTGCTCAACTTGTTAAAATGTTTCTGAGGAAGGGCTACTCGACCCAAAACGTTAACTCTGATTTCTCTCCGCAGATGCTGCCAGAACTGCTGAGCTTTCCCAGCAACTTCTGATTGTGTTTCTGATTTACAGCATCTGCAGTTCTTTCAGTTTTTAAAATGCTTCCTGCATGGTTTCCAGGAGAGTGGTTCTATTTTTCTTCCGCTATCATCTTGTGCCACCTCTAATCACAGTTTCTCAGTGGCTGAAGCTAACTTTAGCCTCCCATTGTTAGAGAACTGGATATCGCTCCAATCTGTACAATTCAGAAGGCATCGCTGAATTTGGATGTATCTTTTGCTCTATTGCCTACCGACTCCTACTGCTTCACTTTGCCTGTTTCGGGGATACCTTTAAACGGTGCAGTTGAAATCGCAACATGCAGGCCATCACCATGCATGCTCAGGTTGTTTAGTCATGTCAAAGCATTGGTGAGTTTAAAGTAACCATGGCGTGTTATACAGATGTGACACATGTATTACACTTAGTTCATGTTCCCCATCAAATGATTGATATCCACTAACTGCAGCACATCACAAATATAAAATCCAACTCATAGAATTTTGGTATTCATGGTAAAAATAAAGAATGTCCTTCATGCAGTGAAATGCATACAGAATGTTGATTAATATTCTCAAATAGGGATAGGTCATTCCATTCCACCAGAACAATGTTTTCCTCCTGAACAGGACAACAATTGAGAGGAGTGGAGAATTTTCACTGTTCATAAAGCCAGCTATAAAGTATTATTTGCCAATAAGTTGCAAATTTCAAACAAATAAAAAGTTTGACAACTTTTCAAGAGGACCATTTTTTAAAAATAAATGTTAAGTTCTTGAATGTTAATTTCGTCATATAAAACAATGTTACGTTCATAGAATGCTTCATTAAACATTCAATGTCATTATTGTATTGCCCAGTCTAAAATTTACACCCTGTTAAATGATATTTATAAATTTTTAGTTCAATGTACAGAAATTTCATGAAAGCTGTGAATCAAAGCCAATAAAATAATTCAGGTAAATAAAACAAAAGAATTGCGAATGCTGGAAATCTGAAACAGAAGCAGAAAATTGCTGGAGAAACTCAGCAGGTCTGGCAGCATCTGTGGAGAGAAAGCAGAGTTAATATTTCGGGTCCAGTGACCCATCTTCGGAACCAGAAAGGTTGACTCCTTTTCTCTGGCCAGAGATGCTGCCAGACCTGCTAAGTTCCTCCAGCAATTTCTGTCTTTGTAAAAGAAGTCAGGCATTCTGATAGTACAATTCATTCTACAAATACCAAACTATTAAAGGTATAATTGCATTTTCAAATGGAGAGAGTCTACTCATGTGTTTTGTATCCTTAAACAATTACATTAATTTATAGAAAACAAATGACAGCTGGACAACTCAGATGTTGTTTAAATTTATTTTGGAGTTATTGCTGAATTATCATTTGGGCAGTGGTAATTGAGTAATAATTTGGATGTCCTACCTTTTGTTATTCATCTATCTCAAAGTATCACATTTGAGTGAATAGATGCTGATCATGTAAATTGACTCAGAGATTAGCAAAGAAAAGTGGGATGTGAATAATGCAGTAGAGGGTCTAGGCCCGAAACGTCAGCCTTTCCTGCTCCTCTGATGCTGCTTGGCCTGCTGTGTTCATCCAGCTCTACACCTTGTTATCTCTTGTGAATAATGCATGTCATTATTAATATGCAAACCTGGCAACAACTTGTGGCAAGGAAGAAACAATTAATCAATTCTGAGGCACTATAAGTCGCAGGCTGTTTTGCTATTCCCCTTTATTAGCTTCATAAAAACAAAATCTCACCCATACGTTCCTTATAATTTTCATGAAATTGCTACATTTTCACAGTAATTGTCTATTATATTCATCACAATGAATTAAGTTTAATAATTAGCAGCATAAGTGCCCTTTTCTTTGTCTGATAACTGCCAATCAACCTCCCTTACTTGGAAATTGAACAATTAAAATTGTGACATCTCAATTTTTCATGTAGTGATGGCAGAATCTGTACTTTTTGAATTGGAAATTTTAAGAATTACATTTTTTCTTTAATTAGTTCACACTGTCACTTATTAATCTCTTTATTTCTCTTTCTGTACATGATTTAACATTCACCCACTTTAATTCAACCTCTCTCTCAATTCTCCCTCCAAATATTTCTCAGTCTTGAAATCTCCGTGGCTAAGAAGCTACACTGTTTGACCTATTTTTCACCAAAGTCACAAATGGCTTGTTGCCCTCTCCACACTCTATCAATTTGCACTTCCAGGAACCTCGTAGGAAAAACAATTATTGACCTGAAGGGTACAAGAGCAAGTTTAATTAACAGGACACTGCAAAAAATTCTGAGCTGTTAAATGTCTAGCCTTTGAAAGATTGTTTGCATTTCTGTTTTTTAGATTTATTCTTTTATTGGGTGTAGCCATTGTTGGCTAAGCCAGCATTCATTTGCTGCCTGGAATTGCTCTTGAGAAGGCGATGGTGAGTTGCTTCTGGAGATGCCATGTAGTCTAACTGATTAAGGTACACCCACAGTGCTGTTTGGAAGGAGTTTGACTTGGCAACAGTAAATGAATGGCAATATAGTTCATAGTCAGGATTGTGTGTGACCTAGAAGGAAACTCACTGGTGGTAGTGTTCACATGTATCTTCTGCCCTGGATCTTCTCAGTGATACTAATGTGGACTGGAAGGTTCTGTTCAATGTGCCTTGGTGTGTTGCTACAGTTCATCTTATACATTGTACACACTCACCGATGGCGGGAGGAACGGTGGCTCAGAAGTTCGCACTGCTGCCTCACAGCGCCAGGGACCTGGGTTCGATTCCACCCTTGGGTGGCTGTCTGTGTGGAGTTTGCACATTCTCCCTCTGTCTGTGTGGGTTTCCTCCCACAGTTCAAAGATGTGCAGGTTAAGTGGATTGGCCATGGGAAATTGCCCATAGTGTCCAGGGCTGTGCAGGCTAGGTGGGTTAGCCAATAGGAAATCTGGCTTTACAGAGATAGAATCCCTACAGTGTGGCAACAGGCCCTTCGGCCCAACAAGTCTACACCAACCCTTAGAGCACCCCACTCAGACCCATCCACCTAATCTACACATCCCTGAACACTATGGGCAATTTAACGTGGCCAATCCACCCTAGCCTGCACATCTTTGAACTGTGAGAGGAAATCGGAGCACCCGGAGGAAACCCACACAGACACGGGGAGAATGTGCAAACTCCACACAGACAGTCGCCTGAGGGTGGAATTGAACCCGGGTCCCTGGCACTGGGAGGCAGCAGATAGTATAGGGGAGGTTGGGATGCTCTTTGGAGTGTGGACTCGATGGGCCAAATGGCTCCTACCGTACTTTCGGGATTCTATGGTATGAATGAATACTCAATGAGCTGGGCGGGGTACCAATCAAGCTTTGTCCTGGTTGGTGTAGAGTTTTTTGAGTGTTGTTGAAGCTGCACTCCTCCGGGAAAGTGCAAAGTGTGAGTGATCAGCTTTGGGAAATGCACCTTTTGTTGTGTTTTGTACACTCTGGCCGGAGATTTATAATTTCCTTTTAGTTTGGTCCAGCAAAATGTTTTAAAGTGTACAGCTTGCATTGATTCAACATGTTCAGTAGATAGCTCCCCCTAGCACTTTAAGAGCAAATTAATGAAAGGCCATTAAACTTAAACATTAACTCTGTTTTCTCTCCACAGATGCTACGTGATCTGATGTGTACTTTCAGCCTTTTCCATTTTAATTCCATATTTCATACAGCTGCAATATTTTGATTTTTCAAGATCAAGTCAATGCTTAGTGTTCATTGTAAAGTTAAAGAAAATAACCAAAGACATGGTCAACAAGATAGATTTTGAGGAGGTTTTTGAACATGGACAGAGACAATAATGGGAAGGGTTATGGGAAAGAATTCCAGACCTAAACCGATGACAGAATAGTTCCTTCTGTACTGCTGTAATAATACTGTTAACCAGATTATAATGTTCGGTGTTAGCAGGATTCACTATTTAAGTGTTATGTTGTAATCAGTTTTGTCAGTGCAGTACTTACAGCATGAATGGGGAAACAGATTTCAGTCAGAATTCTTGGAGCAGGTATGAAGATTTGTGTTCCATTAATCTGAACTGTTTTTGATGTACCTTTCAGGGGCCAACATTATTGTAATCCACTTCACCGCTTGTACATGTTTTTGTTTCTGCTAATGCAATTAAGATTAAAAGCCCAGCAATTGTTAGTGGCAAAGATAGGAATGCCTGTGCCATTAATTTTAATAGAAGAGTAATCACTTTTCTCTCTAATAGGGGGACACTTCAGTTAAAATAGCAGATAGAAGGATATTGCACTAAAATGCTGAGTCTTCATCTGCTCATGAAAATTAATTCCCAGGTTACAGTTACAATCATTTATATTACAACAGTATTTTCAATAAAGTACTTCTTTGTCCATGTTCTTTCATCTCCTAGTTGCTTCATATGGGCGGAAACAATTAATATACTTTATAACTCCTTGCCCAAAAATCTACACGACATGTCAAAGTGCAACAAATAGTGCGGATGGGTTCAACCAAAGTCAGGACCATACCATAGTCAATCTGACCTAATTAATATTTGCTAACAGAGATCCCTGTTTTTTTTTTCCTTTATTCATTCATGGGATGAGGGCAACGCTGGCCAGGCAGCATTTATTGCCCACCCCTAATTGCCCAGAGGGCAGTTCAGAGTCAACCACGTTGCTGTAGGTCTGAAGTCACATGTAGGCCAGACCAGGTAAGGATGACAGTTTCCTTCTCTAAAGGACATTAGTGAACCAGAAAGGTTTTTCCTGACAATCGACAATAGATTCATCATCAACATTATACTCTTAATTCCAGATATTTTATCGAATTCAAATTCTACCAACTTCGAACCCGGGTCCCCAGAATGTTATCTGCAAGTCTGGATTAACAGTCCAGCGATAATACCATTAGGCCATCGCCTCCCCTTTAGTTACTGGGATAAATTTATTCCCTTAACCTTAGGAAGTGGAAGGCCGATGTAGTACCATCATTGTATTGCCCCAATTATATTAGCTGAGTCATCATAAAACGTGTTGGCCTGTCCAGGCTATATGTCTTTGTAACAGTGCAATTTTTTTTAGGAGTTAATTATGACTTGATTAGCGGGTGCAAAGATACTTGATGACCTTTTTGTAAAATTGAAGAATGCATGTTTGACAGGTCATTTCACTTGTATTCTCAACTTGATTATTCTATGCGTATACTAGAAATAAACATTTAACTGAGGCTGCTTAGTTCATCTTATTGGCTATTTTGGCAGCCAGTCACTCCCTTACTTTCCATTGTTATCTCAATTCTATTAATTCAGAAGACAAATATTCTGAATGATAACACCAACATATTTATAGAATATTAAGTGGTTTGATGTATTGAGAAAAGGCTGAGTAAATTTTATTAATTGACAAGAAAGGCTTTATGGTTTTATTTTCTATTTTTATTTTTTATTTTCTATTTTATTTTATTAGACCATAAGACCATTTCAAATAAATCTTATAAAGTGTAATATGGTGTGTTTTTTTCCTTTTATCTATAATAAACTTTAATATTATTTTGTTAAAAGTACATAGGCGACCTCTTGTGAATATATTCAGTGACTGACCACCCAGTAAAATAAAATTATTTTTTTTTTATTTTCTATTTTTTATTTTCTATCGTCAAATTATTTTAATGGTGCAACTCCATGGTAGTCATACTAATGTCATATTACATAACAATATTCATTAAGACTATATAGTTGCACATTAAATGTCCATGGTCTAGGTTAGGCTTTGAAAATTAGGAAAGAAAGAACTTACGTTCACACAGAATCATATTCTGCCTTTAGGACCACTTTTGAAACATGGCAATCAATGTTTAAACAGCAAGATCCCACAAATCACAAACGAGTGAATGTTCAGACAATGACTGTAACTTCCATGAGGGTGGCTCCTGATCCTCTGCGGTAATGTTGACAGGAGACCAAGGGGACCCCAAAAGAAGCAATGCTAAGATTTTCAATTCTTTGCATTGTTTCTCCAGGGGGTGGGGTGCAGGGGCAGATAGCAGCAATGTGGTTCTGGTAACCTTTGAATTAAGTTATTAAGAAGATTTAGATAAACCCCGCTGAGTATGTTTTGGATGATGGTTGAAAGAAAGGTGTTGCTTAGTTACCGAGAACTCCTTCATCTGTTTCCTCACCCACTTCTATTCTGATATCTCCACCTTTGGCCTTTTATTCCTTTCCAAACCTAATCTTGGGGAACAGCATGTTCTTTCAGTTAAATATTTGACAACTCCCTGGCCTTGATATTGACTTTAATAATTTCAGATTTTAACTTTATCCCTCTTTTTATTTTCAGCAAGTGATGCTGACAAGGTGGATTCTAATTAGGAATAAAGGAACAGGAGTAGGCCATTCAGCCCTTCCAGCCTGTTCCACTATTCAATGAGATCATGGCTGATCTGCAGCCTAGTTCCATATACTTGCCTTTGGTCTATTTCCCTTGAATTCCTGTTAAGGAAAGGTATTATCTATCTCAGGTTTAAAATGTGGGTGTGCAGTGAACTTGGTAGAGAAGAAGATAGAGTGGTGCTGGGGGTGGGAAGTTATCTGACACAACACACTGGTGGGACATGTGCTTCTGTATTCACCTAGCCTGCTGGATTCTATTCCCCTTTGTAGATCTTCTCCAAACCGAGAAATCAAGTACAGACGTGTCAACTAAACAAGTGGAAACAGGGTGACCTTTCATTGGAGTTTGAATATGTGCTATGTGGTTGGGGGTAGATGGAATTAATTTTTATTGTTAATGTTTGCCATAAGACCATTTCAAATAAATCTTATAAAGTGTAATATAGTGTGTTTTTTTCCTTTTGTGTATAATAAACTTTAATATTATTTTGTTATAAGTACATAGGCGACTTCTTGTGAATATATTCAGTGACTGACCACCCAGTAAACAAACTGAAAAACTAAAACTGATGGCCTATCTTTCATTATGTTTCTTCAAATTGTCTCATAGTACAATCGCTTTTGCTTGAAGCATAGGAACATAGAACTTAGGAGCACGAGTTGACCATTCAACTCTTTAAGCTTGCTGTACCATTCAGTAAAGTCATGGCTAATCTGGTTGTGGTCTCAACTCTTCTTTCACATCTGCATCCCATAACCCTTGATACCCTCATTGATCTAAAGTCTATCTAGCTCAGCATTGAATAAATTCAATGAACCAATCTTCACCATTTACTGGGGAAGGTAATTCCACAGACTGACAACCCTCTGAGAGAAAAACTTTCCTACTCAACTCCAAATGAAAAGCAAGCCCTGTGAGTTCTGGTCTATCCTACAAGGAAAAGCACCCTGTCAGAATTCACCCTCTCAGGAACTGATATGTTCTAAAAAGGTCATGTCTCATTCTTCTAAATTCCAACAGGTAAAAGCCCAAGCTGTTTAACATTCCTTCATAAGATAAGCTGAGCACTGTCTATCAGTTAGAGCTTACCCAAGGCTTATTGAAAGGGAAAGCAACTAACCACAATACATAATTCTATTGTTGTGTGTACAACTCAAATTGATTTTATTTTACGTCTTACTGATGTTTTCCTCTTGGTGCATTAATACATTTACATAATGCATGAAACAGTTATTCACCCAGCCCTGCAAAACATATGTCTGTAAGTTTCATTTCTTAAACAAGGCAGTTCAAGAGTACAGTGCCATAAGAAATATCTGCTTGCAGGCATATCAATTCCAGACATATGGTTTTTGACTTGACAAACAACCATCACCCCAAGAGATTGCTATTGTCCAAGCAACATTTACCATCCTCTCTCAGGAGCTGAAGAGTTGAATTCAAGAGAACCATGTGATCATTGTAAAGATACCATCTACTTGTTGTTTTAACTCTTGGGTTCTCTCTCAGGCACTTCCCGTTGTTATTGCAATGTAAGACCCAGTCACCTCACTCCGCGCGTTTGTGTAAGCCAGGTGACAGCTGTTTCATACCGAGTGGCAGTTTGCCATGTTTGTTTTCCAAATACGAAGGTTCGGCACCGAAAAACACAGATGGATATTATTGCTAAAGCCCAGGAGTATCAGGCGCAATACATTGTATGCACGATTGGAGGTACAGAGAAATGAATTAGAGACTAGTAGTTTAGTTTATCTGGAAAATAAACCCCAAGGGCGTGATTTTCTGCTCCCAGAGATGGTGAGAGTAGTGGTGGGGGTAATAATTTTTTTTATTCAACAATGGGCAGTGTGCTGGACTAGCATTTATTGCCCTTCCTAGAGAAGCTGGTGGTGAGCTTCCTTCTTGAACTGCTGCAGGCCATGTGCTGTGGGTTGACCCACAATGCCCTTAGTGGAGGAATTCCAGGATTTTGACCCAGCGACAGTAAAGGAATGACGTAATATTTTCAGGTCAGCCTGGTGAGTGGCTTGGAGGGAAACTTGCAGGGGATGATGTTCCCATGTGTTTGCTGCCATTTTCCTTCCAGATGGAAGTGTTCATTGGTTTGAAAGGTGCTGTCTAAAGGAGCTTTAGTGAATTTCTGTGGTGAGTCCAGAAAACAGATTCTCACTGTTGAGATAAAGTTCAGCAATTAAGAGCTCTCCCTCCTCAGAAGGCAAATCAGCCTTCTCGTCATTAGACTGTGAGAACCTATTCTACATCAATTGCACAACTCATCTGAAATAACTTTTTCTTTCTGATTAACTTCTGTCCAATCAAGATAGTTGATGCTTTGGTTAGAGTATTGGCTTGGATAGAGAATTGGCTGACTGACAGAAAGCAGAGGGCCAGGATAAATGGGTCCTTCTCTGGATGGTGAACTGTAACTAGTGGGGAGCTACAGGGTTCAGTTCTCGGACCGCAACTATTTACAATCTATATAAATGATCTGCAAAAGAAACAGAGTGTAACATAGCGAAGTTCACGGATAATACTAAAATAGGTGGAGATAAAGAGTTTACAGATGGATATTGATAGGCTCAGAGAATGGGCCAAATCTGGCAGATGGAGTTTATTATAACTGTGAGGTTATCCATTGCGGCTGGGAAAGTAAAAGGGCTAATTATTATTTAAATGGGAAGCAGATTCAAAGTGTATCAGTGCAGAGGGATCTGGGTGTCCTTGTGCATGAATCACAGAAAGTGGGTATGAAGGTTCAGCATATAATAAGAAAGGCAAATGGAATCCAGGCATTTATTGCAAAAGGTTTCGGATTATAAGAATAAAGAAATATTGTTACAGTTATATAAGGTGTCGGTGAGACAACACCTGGAGTACTGTATTCCGCTTGGGAACCCTGCAGCCCAATGGTATCAATGTGGATTTCACAAGTTTCAAAATCTCCCCTCCCCCCACCGCATCCCAAAACCAGTCCAACTCGTCCCTGCCTCCCTAACCTGTTCTTCCTCCCACCTATCCCCTCCTCC